TATTTTACTTTTTAATGTTTTTTACCTACGTGACTTTACCGAAAAAACCTAAGAATATGAATAGAAAGGAGAGTGGCGAGACGGACTGCACACAGCCGCCACCGCAGCTCCACGCCGATGGTAATCGCGCTGAATTATGAAATTCTAGATGACGGCAACGGCCTCTCAGTGGGCCCTGGTTAAACGTGCCCATGAGCTAACAAACAACCCCGTTCATGGTAATCATCGACACTTGGAGCAGGGAACTGCCGTTGAATATTAATCTCGCGAGCGTTCACGAGTCTTCACGCCCATGTCTCCCTTGCAAGCAGTCTTCCCGTCTCAGTTGGGCTCTTACCTGGCTGCAAGCAAACGTCTCTCTCTCTCCAATACGGAGTGGAACTAACAGCAGAGGGGAATACTAAACAGCGGTGAAATCCTTAGGGTCGCCCCAGCATCAATCTTTCACTGGACAATATCAATTTTCATGACGTGACGATTATCGCGATAACTTTCGCAATATAGCTTCGTGATTGCAATTTTAATTATTTTATGGCATAGTTTGTGTTCTTGCTTCGCTTCCAGAAGCAACCAAGGGATTCAAACGCTCTTCAACTGCAGTTCACTCAGCACACGCGGTGCGGTGCCTCTCGACACGATGCTGACAGCACGAATGGAACAACGTGATTCCTTACTAAAACTATTTTTCATTTTCTTCTTGGTTCTTTCGGTAAAGTCACGTAGAATGGAAATAATAAAATAATAAAAATAAAACATAAAATAATTCTCACCACGTTTCGGCCACAACGCAAGCAGCCGCCCTCAGGTGGAGAACAGGTCTGTCGAGAAGAGTCTGAATGACACACCCCAGGCTTGGAGCGTCTATTTAAGCTGGGATGGAGGGGGGGAAGAGCGCCTTGACAAAATAATTTGCATATCAAGAGGAATTTAGCATATTTATGGAAAATGCAGGTATGCAATTGTTAGCAGGTAAGGTCCACTGAGCTACGCAGCTGTGACCTGGCCACAAACGATAGCTCAACGAAACGGCTCACCATGTGGACATTTATAGCAGTCAAATACTCTCCACGCGTGCTTCTCAATGCGGAGGGGAAAACCGGAGGACCCGGAGAAAAATCCACGCGACCGCGGGGAGAGAATGTAAACTCCAAATATACAGCAGCAGGCGGCAGGGTGGCTTACATACACACAGAGATGATAACCGCAGCGAGGCTCGCAGTCATCGAAGCAGTCTCCGTCCACATTGATGAGCTTGGCACAATGTCTACTAGACATCTGTGAAAAGTGTTTTATAGCTCATCGGATTCCTCCAATATAAATATTCTGATTCTGATAATGAAACAATGCCGGCGTGGTGACGCAGTGTTAATAACACTCGTGCCTCACAGCGAGAGGGACCTTGGTTCGATTCCCAACGTGGGTGCCTGTCTGTGTAGAGTTTGCACTTTCTCCCCCTGTTCTGCACGGGTTTCCTCCGGATTCTCCGGTTTCATCGCATAGCTGAAAAACCACACACACACAATGTAACTGGTGTTGGCCAAACATCACACTGCTAATAAATGACCTGCGAATTTACTTAATTGCGATTTCACGCAGCAGTAACATCGGCCCCTAGTGCAAAAAAAAACCTTTCCAAGACCGTCCTGAAAAAAAGTCTTGAGACTCAGCGAGGCTGAATGGTAGAGAGTGAGCCGGCCGCATTGTGTCCGAACACAAGCAGCAGCAACAGCAGCAGCGTACGGTTTGCCAAGGACACGTTACTGCCGAACGCAACCAGAGCAGATCGGGACACAGCAGAGCACATGTGGCAAGATCTTGTTAAAAGAGATTTCAGAAAATTAGGTTTGCCTTGAGATGACCTTGGGAAGGAACCCCTGTATATGAACAACTGGCGCAAGGTGCCGAGGATTTTGTATTTACATACAATATGGAAACACCAGAGAACTCTAGCTCAGCAGGATACTACACTGATATTTTAGACTTAATTTGTTCACGAGATAGGAAAAGGCTGGATGGTTAAATTGACCTTCAAATAGATAAAAGCTCGCCTAAAAAAACATCCAATGGCTGTACCAGCTTGCGCAGAAATATTATAACTTGATATAGAGAACATTTGACACTCTTCTTACGCAATAACATTTCACCGCATCTGAAGGTTGATGGCGCAGGGGATATTTAATTTCACACCGCTGCGTCGGAGTGCGACGCACTTGTCATTTAGGCAGCCAGTGACATTGCCGCCCCATCTGCCGTTTAAGCGCACCATGAAGAGCGTGAGTTAGAAGCGAGGCCCTTCATGGTGGATTATTTCTTAGAGGCTTTATTTTAACCCCGTTTCTGACGCCACGAACGGCCACGTCGGGGGCCGTCATCCGCCGCCGCTCGCGCTCACGGGCTACGAAGCTCGCGGACTGCGAAGCTCGCGGGCTTCAAATCTCGTGGGCTTCAAATCTCGTGGGCTTCAAATCTCGTAGGCTTCAAATATCGTGGGCTTCGAATCTCTCGAGGAGCTAAGAAGTTACCGAGCGAAGAAGCTCGCGGGTTGCGAAGCTCGCGGGTTGCGAAGCTCCCGGGCTGCGAAAACGAGAGAAGAGACCGCGGCGGCCCCGAGACGCTCAATTACCGGGGGCACGGAGGAAATTTCATTTCTGTCCGAAAAAAAAAACCCCGACAAAGCGAGCAAAGCGAGAGGGGAGGGAGTCGGTGGTCGAGGCCGTGCGCCGAGTTTGCGCCGTTGCGATTATCTCGGCCTTCGTCGCTGAAATGGAAACGGGCTTACGCCGCCGTCGGATACAATGGCATAAAGGAGGTGCTGACACCTCGTCGTCCCGACTGCCTCCGACAGAAGGGCATAATGGTCGCAGCGCCTGCCGCGGATTTATGCGGCGGATTAACGTTGACTCCGACACACCTTTCAGCGAGTCGTCGCGCGCACGCACTCACACCTGCCGCTCCGAGCAGCTCTCATCAATAGAGCATTATGCGCCATTCATCCGGCCACTAATCCCGGACGCACAAGCAAACCATTTGGCGTAAGCTGAAAAGGCTCACTTTGTTGATACACATTATCGACGTGCAGATGTACGCAACAGATATTGTTTGTAAGTGCGGCTGCGCGAAAATTATTGTTTTCGAATTTACTCAAAGCGACGCCGAGGAGCGTCGTTCCGTCGGTATGTTAAGGCTAATGATTGGTTGTTAGAGTTATTACAAATGTTATTGGACCGCGCAGAGGGCAGTATGACATTAAACGTAATTGTCACGTCTAATAGTCATGTCATTTACTTATTATCCGGGAAAGCCTCGCTGAGCTTGGATTCTCTGTCAGGGGGGGTCCTGCTGAGGGATATTTTGTCAAATTATTTGTAACCGAGTGTCTGGCTTTGTGAGCGAGAGAGCACCCACAGCAGCCAAAAGCATGGCCACAAAACCCCACGAAATGACTCGGCGTGGAGAAGCGTCGTCATCCAGCAGTGGATTGACAAAGAGCTGTAAATTATTCGTTGTTGATTGACAAAAACACCAACGACTCGGCGACGCCGTCGCAGCGTCGTTTCATCTGTCACACTTCACGACAGCCCCTCAGCGGGATTTTTGAGCCACTGCAAATTTAACAGATATCTAAAAAAACCATTGTGAAATCGAGGCTTTAAGAACCTCTAATCAGAAGCATAAAATGATTTTTTTTGGCTACGCAATTACAGCAGTGTGTTACTTGTTTTTTTTATAACTTATGCATAGCATGTTTGAATTAAAATAAAAACCTCACAGACAATGTAACAACGAACATTTAAATTGCACTTCACTTCAACTAATTCCATGATTAAATAGAGCTAATCACAAATTGCCGCTAATGCGGGCAGCTTACATTTAGTAGGTGCGCCGAAATATGAGAGCAAAATTAAAATCTCAAAGCAACAAAATTGAATTCTAAAAAGTGTTTACCGAAGTCGTCCCCTAATCTCCTCTGCTTGGCGCTGCTGCCTTTAGAACTGGAATCGCGCTCCCCACGGATGGTAAAAGCTCGCCGCCTTGGGCAAAGATTTCCGCGTGACAGGGTAAGCAAGGCCCTGCCTGCCCTGGGCTGGGATTTGGGCCCCGACAGCTCTAGCTGGCTGCCTGAGTGAGCACACTTTGCTGTTTGTCTGTGTGGGATTGGGTCAGAAAATCCGCAGCCACATCAAACGCAGTGCCCGTGATGCCAAATTTCCTGGCTGCCATTCGCCTTCCCACTTCTGTCAGCTTTCAGTCCCAATAACCCGGAGGCCTGCACTCGACTTGTCTTCATGACAAAGAGATAATCCAATATTAGCACTGTAGCTCGCTTTAATCTGCGCTATTTATAAACACCACGCAACCAGGCAGCGCTAAGTTTCGGCCAGGGTGCTGCAGGAATGTTGCGTAATTTGCGGGCGCCTGGATGCGCGAGCGCTAGGATTCGTTTGAGTTTTGTCGAGGAGAACACTGGCGTGAGTGGACATGTACGCAACATTAATCACATCACCGTGCCAAGTCGTAAACGCACTGCGCGTGATGAGATCCATTCCTTATGCGGCTGGCACATTCACACGTGACCAGGACAGAGACTCTTCACTGCCACTCCGTCTGTGGAATGGACGATATTTTAATAATCCTCATCGAGAGAGCAGTGGCGGTATGAGTTAATTTCCTGACCACGGCTAAAAATCAGTGGCGAGTTGTATCTGAACTGTTGCATACTCCCCCCCCCCCCCTTCACGAACCCTTACTGACCAGCATGGTGAAGTATGAAGCATGGTGAAGCATCCCTCCGTGACTAACACGGTATGAGACCTTCATCCGGCCTCTATAAAATCAGTACTGTGTGCCCACTGTCGTCTGTTTTGTTTTGAGAGGCGTTCACATGAATCTGATATGTAAATCCAAATTGCATGGTATGCAGTCATTTACAAAATAAAGTCAGCTTTATTGATCACATACCCATGCATACATGGCAGTGGGATTCTTTGTTCTCGTGTCGCTCTCTCTCAGCTTGAGCAAATTAACAACAACGACGATGTAAACAGCAGCAACAATATTTTTAAATATATTTAAAAATATATATTTTTAATACATATATAAAAAACGAAGTAAAATCGTTGTGCAGATGATAAAAGTGGCATGTGCATTGCAGAAGTAAGGTCCGCTGTGGGTGAGCTTTATAAACGATCTTGTTCTGCAGAAGCTTCTAGTTTGGTTAATGTCTAGTGCAGTGGATGGGGGAGTGTGTGAATAGGGGTATGGGGGAGCAAAATCAGGGTTGGTGGGGCTTGGGCACTTGGGCATATTCACACGTGATGGTTCCAACTCTCTCCCCTGTGCCGTTCCCTATTCGTGTAACGGACAACTGTAATCGTCCTTAGTTAATGTTTTGACGCATTTTTAACCAACTGTGTTATGTTGGGACGCGTATGTAAGGTTCTATTTTCGTAATAATCACGTTGCGATAATCACATTCCAATTCTGTCCCCATCATTGTCATATGCATACATTTAGCGTCTTTGCTTAAGTCAGAAAAATAATATATTTTCGAGAATAATTGAGGTGGCTTAGGATAAGTGGAACTAACAGGTGGTAAAAAGTGGCAATAAAACAGATAACTAAGCAGATATTAAAAACCAATAATGGGTGGAAGCAATTTCAGAAAAGCCGCTTATGCCAGATTAAGGGTGCATCGTGCGACGCGTGGAGAATACGCGAGGAATATCTGCCGAGGAAACTCAGTTTCTCACCCGCGGTATACGAATGCTGCAAATATCACAACCCTTACGGACGCAAACTAAACCGACGGGCAACGTAACAACGATGAGAGCGGAACGAGGACCGCGATTACGAGAGATGGCAAAGCCTTGGGAGGCCTTGATCCAGCAACGGCTGGGATCCCACTGGGATTGTTGCACACAGGGTTGGTGTACGGTGCTTTTTCTGCAATATTTTGCTGTCTTTTCTTGGATTTTCTGTTTGCACATAGTCACTTTAAGATGTTTTCTTGTTCATGTTTTAGTTTTTTTGTTAGTTGCGGTTGCACCCGATTCAAGAGCCGAATGGCTCACAGGGCTATACCTAATAAATGAACTTGAAAACTTGAAATTTGCCGAGTAAAAATTCCGTACATCACAGACACTTTGCGTTACCGTCTGTGCATTCTCAAAGCCGTTTTAAAGCTTTTCTGGTGAATGAAATAATTTCAATGAATCTGAGTTATGAGTGTGCCCACTGTCAGGAATGTCAGGGACACCGGAGGCGAATCCGAAAAACAAACTCAACGACACCTGTCCGAATCAGCAAGCCTGATGGATGCATCTGTCAATATTTGAATGCTGTGTTCTAGTCGGGCAATAAGCCTGCTTCATAAATACTTTCTCAACTTGCCAAACTTCTGCTAGAGTGTCCTGTTCTCGGCCCTCCCACCCCGCAGTGTCTCTTTCAAGTATCTTCAAAGATGTTTGCAGAACGCAGGGGGCGTGTGGCCTTTAGCCGGGGCCAGGTAAGCTGCGGCGCGATCGCTCCGCGCACCGCACGTGTTGTTGTTGTTGTTGACACAACGCGAGCCGAGGCAGAGAGTTGCCCTGGGGCTGGGTGTGACTCCTCGCACGAGGCTCGGAGCTGTGCTGGGCCGCCGTGGAGCGCACCTCCGCTGGATCCCCGCCACTCATTATGGACAATTGTCGGGCCAGGATAATCTTACGGGGTACGGCGGATCACAAGCAGATTACAATAATTTTCTCGGGGCTGCCGTAGATCAGACTTCATAAGCCTTTTAGCCTCTTGGACACGATGCATGGGATTATCGCAGAAGAATCCAAATTCTCAGATTCTCTTATCCCCCCCCCCCTTGCCGTAAGTCTCCGTTGTTGTGGCTGTTGTCAAATGTGCAGTGACGACGTTGTTGCGAATAAAAATATTGAATTTGGCGTCACCGGCTTCTTCCGGTAAGTGGATGCGGCAAACGAGACAACGATCAACAAAGTGTGACGCGTCCTATCTCGTGACTGCAGCACAGGGCGGCAGCAGCATCCTCAGTTCTCCTCGATAAGTTCAAATGCCAGTCAGGGTTGATTGAGTCCTTCATCCCGAGTGAGCAATCGTTGGTCGTTCTAAGAAAAACAGAATCCCTTCCATAGGAATGTGGAATTTCCATTATTGGCTCAGGACTGCGAATGAAGGTGGGCAGCACGGGGAAATATGACGTCACCTTTAAACGATTCAGTGCCGTCGAGTAGACAATGATTACTTGAAAAACTTGGAAAATAAATCTCCACCTGCGAAAGGCTTCAGTTCAACAAGAAACATCTCCCAAGCACGGAGAGGCACGCGACACAAACAACGGCCCCTGACGTTGACCTCGCGTTGAATTTTAACAACCGGGCGTGCTCCGTACGACGAAGCGCCGGAGAACGCGGGGCCCAGCCAGCCCGACCAGCCCAGCCGTACCATGCACGGTGCACAGTGAAGGGTGGCACGTGCTTCGGAGGTGCGTCGATCCGCGCAGCGCCGGCAGCCTCTGTCACAACAAGTCGGTGGTGCAGACGCGGCTGCTGGCGCGTTTGATGTGGCAGCAGCAGCAGGAGGAAGGGGGGACGAAGAGGAAGGGGAGGATAATAAGGAACGTGCAAAGCGCCCAGGGGAATGCACCATGCGAGTCACTTTTACTGTTAATGTAACTTTTTTTTACGATTACTACTGAGCGGGGGTGTTGTGGTCTTAACCTAGCATTTCCAACCAAGTGTAACAGATTTAACACGAGCAAGAAGAAGCCATGCAATCGCCTGGCTTTCCGTTTGTCCTTCGGAAGTATTTAATTTGCGATTAAAATTATCGCGCTCGTGCCAGGCACGGAGGAAGCGGTTACGTCTGTAGGTGTCAAGGAGACCACACGGCTCGGACAGCTGCTCAGCCGAGGAGGAGTGCTGCGAGTCCTTTGAGCACCGCTTTGTGTCGAGCTGTTTTGGGCAATTACCCTCTCTCTCAATGTGCCTGGTGACGGTGACGATAATCATCACTCGCAGCCACGGCCAAAATTCACAAATCGCCAATTTTTTTTTTTAAACTCGCTGCTGCCAGGACGGCAAATCGAGTGACGTGGCTCGTGGCAGTGAGGGATGCGGCGGTGGCTTTGGCAATCGCCCTTCTTCGGGGAGAAGAACGAGAGGAGCCGATGGAGTAGAGGCATCGCATTGAACAAGAGCCGCCTATTTTATATTCTTCCGTCGTGAGGCAGCGCCGGGGAGAATCTGTTCTGCTTGTGTTTGATAAGCGATGCAGGTTGGGTTCCATCTTGCAGTGATCTTCCGCCGATTCAGCTGAAATGTTGCAGACCTGTTCACGGACAGCGCACATTGAAGGCAGACCGTCGTCGAAAGATGAATCGAGACCACCTGAACATATTCCATGCAGACCGACTGAAAATGTAAGCAGTGGCCATTAAAATGGGCCTTACTTTTGAGTTGTCCCAAACTCCATAACCATGTTTGAGAGTATAAACACTTACAAAAGCATTCTATTACTTTTACATCCATACATCGACTTTATTTAACCAGAACGTGCCCTTTGATACTTATAAATGTTTTGTTGTATTCCTAATCAACATTGGCAACCGAACCACAATTTATAATGTTCAGATAAACGGCACACCACATCCACAGTACCTCCTCCTAGCGACCCAGAGAACATTCAGCAATTAAGCCTTGGGCCCACCATATACAGTAACCTCTCGCTGTTACTGCCAAAGATATCAGCGACACATTCACAGGCAAATTCATCTCTGGCGTGATTGAATGTGTGGCGTGATTTAAGGGCATCGGACATCTCGAGGTGCTGCACAGCCAGGGAGTGCTGCACTCTCGTGCAGTGTCGTCTCGTCAGACTATTCGCCGCGCGTTCGATTCGCCCGCGACTGCGCCCGCCACCACTCCACCCCCACGTGCTGCTCGTGTCGCCCTCCTTCCGCCCGGACTGTGTCGACCACGGAGGCCGAACGGCGAACAACGATTTCGATTTAAAGCTTTCGTGACTGCAGGGATTCATCTTCTTGGTTCTTTCGGTAAAGTCACGTAGAAGGGAAAAAAAAAACACGTAATAAAATAATTCTCACGACGTTTCGGCCACAACGCAAGCAGCCGTCCTCAGGAGAAGAACAGGTCTGTCGGAAAGACCTGTTCTGAATTCAGACGCTGTCTTTCCGACAAACCTGTTCTGAATTCAGACGCTGTCTTTCCGACAGACCTGTTCTTCACCTGAGGACGGCTGCTTGCATTGTGGCCGAAACATCGTGAAAATTATTTTATTATGTGTTTTTTTTTTAATAATTATTTCCCTTCTACGTGACTTTACTGAAAGAACCAAGACTGGGGAACAACGACTTGGAAGGCAGCGCGATGGCGAACGTTACGCGGGACGGCAGGTGGTGGAGGGTGGCGCAAGCAACCATCGGTGACCGCGTGGCTGGAGGGCCCTGGCACGGCCTGCCCACCGCCGTGCCAACCCCGGACCGGGTCAGGAAACGAGGCCCTCTGCTCACCAGCACGGATATCCCGCGGCGATACGAACGGTACTCGCTCACGGCCATGTCACTCCACTGCTGGATGAAGGCCTCCCCACGGCTTCTGGCAATGAGTGATTGTTTGCCCATACTTCACCACGCTGGTCAGTGGAAGTTGGTGAAGGAGCGGCCCAGGACCGGTACATATATCACTCGCCGCTGAAGTTAGCCGTGGCCGGGAATCGAACTCAGGGAGCAGGGATCACGGTGCAGTGCGTGAACCACTGTACCACCGCTCCACCTCAGGTATCAGGAAGTGGTCCAAACATCTACACAAAGTAAAACGAGTCAAATGAATGTTCACAGAAATGCCGTATGCATTATTTTAAGTACAAATCATGAACTGCAACTGAAAACGTATATTCTAAGACGACGTTATTTTTTGTTTCCATTAATTATATTGTTGGGCATTGTGAATTCGAGCGAAATATATTTGGAAAGGATTTGAAAAGCGCTATAAGATGAGACAAAATTCATGGGAAATTTTTAATTTTGGCTTTGCCCCAACACGAGAGTGCTTTTAAAAAACGGCCACAAAATAAATGTTACGCCTGATCACATTCATCTGTGACGGTTTGCTCTGTGCGAATGACACGCCTGTCTGATCCTGTGAAGGTGAGGCTTTTAAAGCCAGCGGGTTGCACCAGCATTTGATATGTTTGTGACGCATGCATGAGGAGCGCAGAAGTTTACACCCGAGCCGGCTACCAGTTCAGAAGGTGGGCGGGAGAGCTCACACTGAGCATTTCAGGTAAAATCTGCCAGTGTTGGTTGTGGTGGCGGCGATGGGAGGGTAACATCAACAAATCTTTGCCTTTCGTCTTTCTCCGCCCCACACTTTTCGAGTGCTTACCCCGTTGCTCCCTGGCTGGCAGCCCCCCCCCCCCACACACACCCCCCCCCACCCCCCGAGTGGGGTCATCTGGGAAAAGATTAAGGGGGCGGCTTTTACAAAGTCCACCGCGGTGCGGAAAAAGTGCCCGCAGAGAACCCCCGGGGGGGTGGGGGGGGGGGGCAGGCGCCCGAGGTGGGGAGCGAGACGTTCGTCTCATCCCCAACCAACGTCCTCCTCCGCCAACGAGGTTAATCAGCGGCCTTTGTCTGCAGATTACCCTCGCCAGAGAGCGTCCTCACAAAGGGAGCGCGATCCTTCCCAGAACACAACAACGTTGTCCCCCATGTGTCACAGCCCCACTTTCACCGAGCCCCCGGGTTTAAGTCCTGCCCGAGGCCGCATTAACAGACGCGTCGACGCCGAGAATTTTTCTTCTATCTTTTGCTTCACTTTACTTAAAAACACAAATGTGTGTTCCGCAGCGGGCCACTGGGCACCCCACCGCCACTCGCTGTCCCAATCTGGCCGCGCACGCAAATGTTGCCAACCGTCCGACGCGGGCGGTGACTTGGCTGGCAAGTCCCAAAAAAGCGTGCGAGTGGCGAAAGTTTCCGGTCGAGTGAAGGTTGGAGATTAGAGCGAGGTCGTGAATGTGGGGCGATAATGCGACGACAGGCAGAGGAGGGTTACCTTCTTGGCGGCCGCGGAGACGCCTGCATTAGGCCGAGCATGTGGATGTGACTGAAGACCTAAGCTCTGATTTCCTTGCTGAGATTACACGGAGATAACGCCGTGCGGGGGGGGGGGGGGATAAAAAGGTGGAGAGGAGGAAAATAAGTGGTTTTGTACAGTAAGCTGGCCGGCGAAAATGCGGCGACGAGGCAAACTCTTGTTAAGATAACGCGAACACAAATCCCCGGCGCGCGCGATACGGAGTCCCGGGGACGTGGCGCCTGCGAGGGACCGGCCCCCTTTTTATCAAGGACATCTGCCGCGCTCGCCGCTATCCGACGCGATCACTGCGTTCGGCTTTGTCTGCCGTCTAATAACGTTTGGAGGGTTGTCAGATAGCGCGGCCCCGATAGCGCGGCGACGATGCGCATCAACGGTGCGCCGCGGGGCCCGCCACGCGGAATACCCCGCGCGGCACCGTCCCCGCTCGGGAACTCGTTACGAGACGCGCAGGGCCCCGTGTCCGGGGCTGCATGGGCGAAGCCGCTAATTAGACGGCTTCTTCGCGGACGCGGCCGGCCCATCCGGGAAGTGACGGAGGGTCTTCCATTTTTGTCCGCGGCGGCTCGGGCACGTCGCGAACTCGACCGCAGGCAAAGGACCTCGCGGCGAACGTGCCGTCCGATGCTGAAGGCCGGACGGCACGTGTCGAGCGCGAGGAGGCGACGCGCGCTGGAGGCGGCCGGCGTTGCCGGACGCGACTCACGTGCCGCAGCGTCCGTAGTCGTAGAACCCAGCTGGCTGGGGTTGTTATCGCTCGTGGTTTGGCGGAGGGGGACCGGCGCGTCGATTCATCGAGGTCGATTGCCAAGTGCGCCAATTAAGCATCAAATCGTGAGCGACCATTCATCGCATCGTAAATACGGTGACATTAATCGTATCGCGAGCCCGGCATTGTGAGAGTTCAATCAGTCACCGTGAGCAGAGCGGTGCATTAGGGGGTGGGGGGCGTTAGGGGGTGGGGGGCGTTAGGGGGAGGGGGGCGTTAGGGGGAGGGGGGCGTTAGGGGGAGGGGGGCGTTAGGGGGTGGGGGGCGTTAGGGGGTGGGGAGCGTTAGGGGGTGGGGGGCGTTAGGGGGAGGGGGGCGTTAGGGCGTGGGGGGCGTTAGGGGGTGCGGTGCGTTAGGGAGTGGGGGGCGTTAGGGGGTGGGGGGCGTTAGGGGGTGCGGTGCGTTAGGGGGAGGGGGGCATTAGGGGGTGGGGGGCGTTAGGGGGTGGAGGGCGTTAGGGGGTGGGGGGCGTTAGGGGGTGGGGGGCGTTAGGGGGTGCGGTGCGTTAGGGGGTGGGGGGCGTTAGGTGGTGGGGGGCGTTAGGGGGTGGGGGGCGTTAGGAGGTGGGGGGCGTTAGGGGTTGGGGGCGTTAGGGGGTGGGGGGTGTTAGGGGGTGGGGGGCCTTAGGGGGTGGGGGGCGTTAGGGGGTGGGGGGCTTTAGGGGGTGCGGTGCGTTAGGGGGTGTTGAGTGTTTCAGCGCTCGCCGGGCTAATTACAGAAAATCCTGATCCTGAGTTTGTTTACAAGGAAGCAAGCTGACAAATGTCTCAGTAAAACATGATCTCTTCATAATTACTCGATTCAATTAGGTTAAACTGTATGTGGATTCATAATCCTCAAGGGTTCTCTTCGTTGTTTGAGCATCGGTAACCAAGTGGACCGAGGCAGCAGCGCTGTCCGTATGCCCACGTGGGTCAGAGAGAGTGGGACCCTAACTACGCGGCTCGAAAACAAGCCTCCAGCATCGGGCACGGGTTGCCGCGATTGTCGTCGTCAGACCGGAGAAGCGCCGCGCAAGTCTGGAGGATAACGCGGCAGGCGAGTGCTGGAGATGCGACCGGGCAAACGCGGCCGCCCTCCCATTAGCGCGGTCGGCTACGTACGGTGCGCGAAGAAAAGTTCGACAGACGTACATTTCACGCGGGCCCCGGCGACCAGGAGGAAGGCCTGAGAGCCGACGGCGGGAGGCTGTCAGAGCAGGACAAGGAGGTCGCGTGTCTCCTGGCAGAGGGGAGAAGGGGTTGGTGAGGTTGCGGTGGTGGCATCGACGGCTCTGGCCACGATGGCTTCTCGACCTCGAATCGAACGCGCGGACACGTGCTGGCCAACCGAGGCCCCGCGAGGATTAGGGAGACGCGAGGGCCGCGGGTCGAGCGACGCGCGGCCTTCAGCAGCCACCGGCACGCCGGCCTCCACGTTCACAGCCCTTCCCCAGAGCAGAGGCCGCATCTCACTTTACAGGCCTCGTCAATCCGCTGCTGGATGACGGCCACTCCGCAACCGTGTCTGTCACGGGGCTTTGTTTGACCATGCTTGGTTAGTTTGGTTCGCCGAAGGGGGTGGCTAAGAGGCGGTTCAAACATCGCTCGCCACGGATGTTAGCCGTGGCGAAGATTCGAACTCAGGATTGCCGGGCAGCGCGGGGGTTTTCATGGTGGCGAGCTATCCACTGCATCGCAACGCGTTAATCGACGAGCAAAAACCCATTGCACGTGGCAGTAAAACAAAGAAAAAAAACAATATTTGATTAAAATGCATTGGTTTACACTTTAAAGCTTTGGGCGGTCCATGCCAGTGGAAAGGTTAAGCTCTTTAAGCGCCATGCTTGGGAGCGCCGCGCCGTGGAGATGGTGGCCGCTGACAGACGTGGGGGGCACGTCCCGGGCGCGGGCGCTGGCCTCCCACGCGCGGCCAGGCTCGGGTTTCCGCTCCTCGCCTCCCGGCGCTGGGGATGCGGCGAAGGCGGACAGCCTCCACGGCCACACGGCCGCTCGGCCGCTCGTCCATCACGTGACAACTGAATGTGTTTGGCTCGTGTTGGGTGGTGGAGGGCTCTTGACGACACAGATTTGGTCAGATCGTTAAGTGGCCGTACCCAAACACAACTGTGCATCGTAACATTGGCTGCGGAATCCTACGTGTGACGTTAACACCATCCCTCATGTTTCATTCTCATGCACATCACCGTTCATCATCATGTTAACTTAATACATGCATCATCATTGTCAAAAACCACGCTTATTATATTATCATTGTTACCATCATCACGAACGTCATCAACACGGTACGCATGATTATTATCGATTTAAAGCTTTCGTGACTGCAGGGATTCATCTTCTTGATTCTTTCGGTAAAGTCACGTAAAGTCTACGTGACTTTACCGAAAGAACCAAGAAGATGATTATTATCGTCGTCAATAATCTTTTTGTCGCATCATCACGGTCATCGCCGTGATGTGCATAATGGACGGCAGGATGGTGCAGTTGAATCACTCGCCCCTCACAGCTAAACAATTGTTCACAATGTAACAGGTATTGGCCAAACATCCCAATGCTGAAAATTACCCGCAAATTACTCAGTCGGGATTTACACACGGCAGAAGTGCCCCCTACTGAGAACATCTGTATTGAGACTCAGTGAGACTATCCTGGGTAAACAAGCGTAATAACAACAACATCATAATCATCGTCGTGTTAATGTAGAGTGTACAAATGCGCGATACAAGCGCACACTTACGCTCGCTAGTGACCAGCGACGAGATTCACAGGAGAACCACTCGAGGTGATTACTGTGAAAAAAATGGAGCAATGCAGCACACTGGCGGTGCGAGACACACCATGAGCCGCACCATGAGACACACCACGAGATACACGACGAGACACACGACGAGACACACCACGAGACACACCACGAGACACACGACGGGACACACGACGGGACACACCACGGGACACACCACGAGACACACCACGAGACACACCATGAGACACGCGACGAGACACGCAACGAGACGATGCTCACGTGCTAGAGACACGATGGCTCATTTAGCACTGACAATTAGTCAGCCCTTCCCATATTTACTCAGGAAAATGTTTAAGATATGTATGTGTACGTAGCGAGTTAACGGTTTAAACACTCGCGTTTGAGCAAAGGTTAGTGCGGAGGTTAGGCGCGGGATTATACATCGGGAATGGGAGTGAGGTCACTGAGGGTCAAGTCTGGGCTGCAGACCCAAACGTGGAACATTACCCCCGTGGTGATGGTGGTGGTGGTGGGTTTCCTCTCCTCCTGGACACAGGCCGAACGCGGCCAGACGCGTTTCACGCGTCACAAACCGCTAGGTTCCCCCCCCCCCGACTGTGAAATCCCAGACTCTGCAGCTCGTGACGCGGCGTCGCCGCCGTGGCGGTGAGGCCGCCGTGGTGGAGAGGCCGCCGTGGTGGAGAGGCCGCCGTAGTGGAGAGGCCGCTGTAGTGGTGAGGCTGCTCTAGTGGTGAGGCCGCCGTGGTGGAGAGGCCGCCGTAGTGGTGAGGCCGCCGTGGTGGAGAGGCCGCCGTAGTGGTGAGGCCGCCGTGGTGGAGAGGCCGCCGTGGTGGAGAGGCCGCCGTAGTGGTGAGGCCGCCGTGGTGGAGAGGCTCTCCTCCAGGCGGTGCCGTTTCCAAGCGTCTCCGTCGCTGCTCCGCACGGGCCTTGTTCATGTTGCAGCTTTAGAGCTTCGTCAATGTGAGCGGCCATTTGGTGGGAGTCTGCTGCTGGGTGAGGGCCTCCTCACGCCGTGCGGAGTCGGGGGGGGGGGCGTTTGACCGGGCCTCGGTGCGGGGTGTTGGTGAACGCAGGAAGCATGGACGGGGGAGCATAGTGCAGCACAACAATATATTGCGCTGCACTGCAATTGTCCAGTGCAGTAGGGAAATGTATCTATTGTACAAACTGTTATTTAATTGCTCTGCTTTCGTGACGTAGATGCTCGTAGCCAGAGCTGTGAACACCAGACCGGAGTGGAGCTGTGGCGAGTTCAACGTAGTTTTGTGACCACACAACAAGCGGAGGAGTGGTGGCACACCGATTAGCACGCTGCACTAATAACCAGGCTTCTCGACTTCGTTCCAGGCCATGGCTGACTTGAGTGGCGAGTGCATTTCAACCGGCCCTGGGCTCACCCCCCAACTCTAAAGCAACCCACACTGACCAGTGTGGTGAAGTATGAAGTCAAACAAATCACATGACTGCCTTTATCCCGCAGTGGATTCGCAAAGGGCTGTAAAATTATATTGCTAATCACCGCATTACAAATGTATGCTTAAGTTGTGTATAAGTGGTTCATTTTCTTCATTTAAATACCTTTGGTCCATCCTGCAAAGAGTGTCCGTCATGTGGACATGACGCACAAACGTTTGATTCCACCGTTGGAATGAGCTGCAATGAGAAAAAATATAATCTATCATCCTGATCACTTGCACAGCCAATCGGTGACCAGGCTGAGACCATGGAATCTCCGAGAACCCAGTTAATTCACGGACAGCGGCGGCTGCTCCGCGTCTCTGACGACACACGACTACGCGCGGTCAAAGTAGAGCCGTCGGCATCAGAGGGCAGAGTGAAATGCCGCCAATGTACATAGATCGGTTTACACCTCTACAGCCGTCCCGCCCAGGGTCACCGTGGAGGCAACGTGGAGCCTCACAGCGGCCCCTGTGAACGCAGCAGCCCTGGACTGCGATGACGTTCCTCACTCACCACTAATTTCGTCCACGTGATTAAATTTCTCTCCGCCCGCTCGGCCGCCGCCTGTTGTAGCCGCTTCTCCCTTTCTCCGCCGACAAGCGAGGGGCTCTGCAAAAATACCGCCGAGTTGAGATTTTTTTTAGGGCTTTTTTTTTCTTTTCACGTGTCTCGGTAAACGTTGGTGTAGGCGCGATGAGCACCGCATTACGGCCTTGCAAATAAAAGCGATTCTATCTCAAGCACACATACGCACGGTGTGTACATTGTGTGCATTGGAGCGGGTTGCGTTTCACGGAGGGAAATGTATGGTTGTTTCTTTTTTTAATCGTATCAAGTAAGACCCATTGAGCGATACAGCTATTTTTTTTTCAGAAGCGACCTGCCCACAGTTGATAGCTCAACCAAGTGGCTTATCATGTGGAAATGTATAGCCGCCAAATACTCTTAAAGCATGTGTTTCAAAATGTGTTGGGAAAATCCGAAGGACCAGGAGAAAATTCCACGCGCTCACATGGAGAGAAACACGCAAACTCCAAAAAATACAAGCGTCAGGGTCGGGATAAAACCCACGACCTTCTGTATGCCAGGCGAGGTAGTTAACATCTCACCACTGCGGCGCCCCGGCCACATGTCTGAATTTGTGTTCTCTCACACACGGCACACCATCACTCCACTGCTGGATGAGGACCTCCCCCCAACTGTGTGGGTCGTCGGGTTATTTGACCATGCTTCACCACGCTGGTCAGTGCGGGCTGTTGAAGCATAGGCGCAGGAGCATAGAAGTACGGTACAACGGTTGATATTTTCGCACCGCCCTCCGCTTCGCACGGAGCCCCGCGTCATGTGACTGCACCTGTCATACGTGCGTGCCGGTGGTCGCCCATCCAAGCGCTGTCCAGGCTCAAACCTGCTTAGCTTCTGAGATGCGATGAGATCTGCTGGATTCTGGGCATTTGACCAAGGGTATGTACACTTACTAAGGGTGATGAGAGTGGCAGTGATAATAACCACTCATCCGGAACAGAATATCTCAGCGCACTGCTCTGCGGGAGAACCCAACAGGGGAGGAGGGGGGGAGGGCACGATACCCCCCCCCCCCCCCCGTGCGATCGTGAGAGAAATTGGAGGCAAAGTAAAACAAAGGAAGACTTCTGACTTTACCAACAAGCGTCAGCTGTTTAACCCATGCAGCAGCTCGTGCCGATTACGATATCAGCCCATCGGCTATTTAATACGGTGAGCACACTGCCAATGTCTACAGTCGTGATTCTAAAAAGCCAACGTGATGTCCTGCTGCTCAAATGAGCGTTGAGGCGGTGCGCATCTTCTGTTCACAGCCCTGAGCCAGTGGTGGAAATTCCACATTCCTATGGCGGCGGGTAAGTCTTTCCACAGGACAACCACTGTTGACTTTTGCCGTGAAGAAGTATCTATTTTAACGAGCCCAGAGTGATGATGGTCTGCGTGAACCTGCCCAACCAGGATTTGAACTCGTAACCTTTCGATTGCGAGCCGCTCGCTCTAGCGCCGAGCCACCCTGGCCAGGTACTATAGTCGCTTGGTCTCTATCGGATTATCGCAAGCTTCGCGAGTGGGACGGAGTGCTCAACGGGAAAACATCTGCATCGACGTCAGGGCCGCGTCTATATTAGAGGATCGAGTTTCAATCCGGTCCGAGTGGCACTGCACATCTGTCAGCTTTGATGGATCAGTCAGATCTGTCAAACTGCCCAGGAGGGCGGTGAACTCCCGCTCACGGTGCCACCGAATGGTGCCGGTCGCAGCACCGTCAGCCTGATATTTTAATTCTCAAAACAACTCAATGCAAACAAACTCAACACACGCCTTCATCCGAGGCCACGGTGTTATTGGCGAGTGCGTTGAGTTGTTTTGATAGTTGTTGCTGGTGTGGGTGATTCATTACAAAACAGAATATAAATTAGCTAAATGTTGCAAACTATAGCCCACATCAAGGAGGTAATCTTACTCTTAGGTTTTTTCGGTAAAGTCACGTAAGTAAAAAATTAAATTAAAATTAATAGAAGTAATAATAGAAATAAAATAATAAATCACGACGTTTCGGAGGCAACACAAGTCTCCGTCATCAGGTGGGACCGTCACAGCCAGATTTATATTATTACTTTTATTAATTTTAATTTTATTTTTTACCTACGTGACTTTACCGAAAAAACCTAAGAGTATGAATCCTTGCAGTCACGAAAGCTTCAAATCTAGAATTAAGGAGGTAATCTACTTTTTTTTATCCAAATCACCGAAGTCGACCAGTTTCTATAACCTCGTGGACGCAGTGCGCATGTTGCGTCACTGGGGCCGTAGACACGCCCGCGGAGCTGAAATCGGTCTGAAAAAAATCCAACGCGCTAACCCACGCTAAAACGTTCCCACCCACTGGGCCCAAGAGATGTCCAGCGCAAGCCACGTCGGCTGCCCTTGTGCTGCAGAAATGTGATCACAGTCCCACTCAGGATTTGGAGCATTTATTTTCCTCCTATTTAAGTTCACTCGGCAGCATTGGCTGGGCAGTGTATCAACGAAAGGTCTCTGGTTTATCGGCCTTCATAGAGGAGGGTGGGGGTGGGGGCTCTAATTAAGTGCGGATTTAATTGTAGAGGGGGGAAGGTGGGTGTGGATGTCACGAGCCGTCTTTTTTTTATAAGAATGCCGATGTCTGCTCGGGATCTCACCTTTAGATGGCACCAGAGGTCAAGCCTTTGAGCAGGACACGAGTGCGGGCATAGTCAGCGGGAAGAGTAGCGGCAAAGCCAGGGATTTACACCGCCCCACCGCCACCACCACCGCCGCCGCCGCCGCTGCTGATAAATAGCCACGGACAAACATCGGCACGAGGCTCACTCTGGAGTGACCGCCCCAATTAATTAGTGACGTCCAGAGTGGCCCGTGCTGCCTGCTGGCTCAATAGGTCTTTCCCTGGAGAGGTGTGCAAATTGGCCGCTAATTGCGTGTCCATTAGAGGCTACGGGGCCCTTGACACGGCTCTGTTTTGGCTCCCCTACTAGGGCCCTTCAGTGGTCGGCGCTTTCAGGGGACGGTTCCTCTCTCTCTCTCTCGTTGTCTCGTGACTCCCCCCCCCTTCTCTTCAGCTCGGCCCGACACGCACAGCCGCCACCACCGCCGCCGTCTTCACCGCCGCTGCCTTTGCCGCCTTCACCGGCTTCATCGGCTTCACCGCCGTCACCGACACGAATTGTCGATCGTCGTTCCGCCAAAGACGCGCGCGTCGCGAGTGCGTCGCGAGCGCATCGCTACCAACGCAGCGGCTGCTGCCCGGCGCCGCACCCGTGCACGATTTTCACACTTCCACAGTCTCATTACGAGCGCTGCGTCAAGCGCGCGGAACTGTGAGATTTAATAAGTTGACGCCGAGTGCGTTGTGAACGTAAGGGGGTGCGGGGGATGCGATTTATTTATTTACTTTCACGTTCGTGGGATTACGAAGCGACGGTTGCTTTTCTTGGCCGTTAAAACGCTGCGACCAATTATCGTTTACAAGGCAGAGCGCTCGAGCGCGCGTAAACATGCACGACGCTCCCAAGCATCGCGCGACAAAACGAAGAAAAATTCGTGCCATCGCTGCTCCCGTCGCGTTTCTATTTTACCTGTGCACTTCTTCAACGTTCCAATTGCAATTAAAACCTCCGCCTCACTATCCAGCTGTGCAAGTGATCCCGTAACTAGCATCGCATTTTTAAGATCCACAAAATAATCCCCACGTGACACAATATCCCCCCGATCTACCATTGTCCCGAATGTTGCGTTTAATTTGACTGGTCCCAAAGAGAAGCATCGCGTTGCGGTTTTGCCGAATGCATAATTAAACAACGCGGACAATAAATTGACACTGGGATGCATTCCACGGGCGAATGCAGCCCGCGTCTCAAGACGCCGGCGTTGTGAGCGCATGGGGACGGAGAAGGGGGATTTGTGACGGTGGGAACTGTGGCAGCAATGGGACTGGAGGAGAGGGCTTCTTAAGTGAGTGAGGAGACGGGAAGACGGGAAGACAGATGGAAACGGTCACACAGAGAGAGGAGAGAAGCAGCCAGGCAGGCAAATTTGCCCAGGGAGGGAATTCCAGATATCGGGGGCAGAAGAGGAGAAGGAGCAACCTCCCACTGAGCGGATATTGGTGCGAGTTGCGATTTTATGAATCTGTGTGATTGGGAATGATGATTAAGCACATAATTTAGAACCCTTTGCGAAACCCACTGCTGTATGAAGGCCTTCCCACACTGCGTTGGTCAAGAGGGCTGCTTGACCATACTTCACCCAGTACCGGTTCAGATATCGCTCGTCGCCGATATCAGCCATGGCCTGGAATCAAACTCAAACCACAGGGATCTCGCTAACCGCTGCACCATAACGTAGCGTAATTATTTAACGCGTCAAGACGACTGCGTTACTTTACCGCACGGCACGGTGCTCAACAACGCAGCGGCGTATTTGAGAGATCCCGACTCTCGCTGCGTATTCTCCCAAGTCCCACCGAAGCTGCCGGGATCCTCATTAACCCCACACGTTGCACAGGCAGCGGGCAGCGGCCCGCCCGTGCGGCTCTGGCCGTGCGCAGGAATTTCCAGAGGAGGATGGCCGCTTGCGCACGTACAACGCTATTCAGTGCACGGAGCGCGTTAATTGGCCGTAATCGAGTCGTCGCGTGCCGGGTTAATGGTCCACCGAAGGAGGGGCCTCGTAACGAAGTTGAACATCCGGGGGAAAGAAGGGTCCTCCAAGGGCTGCAATCCTCGGGACCTTCATTTTGTGTTTGACGGCTTCAAAGTTGCCCCCCCCCCCCCAAAAAAAAAAGAATCAAGCGTGTTGGGAAGCCTCCTCTGGGTTTTGATGATGCACCTTCTCCCCGGCTCCTCGTGGCGCCGTTTCCCTTCCCTATCACTTTCATTATCGCGAGGCCGCGCGCTCTCATTCTGGGGTTCGGTGGCCCTTCCGAGGCGGTGCCATTTCCATCCCGGCCTCTTATCTGATGCATCGATCGTGCGGGCCGAGCATTGATCCGGCCCGACCATCTGGCCGGCCGCGATAAGCGCGCGTTAGCGAGCGTGCGCGTGTGA